TGCCGAAAGTGCGAAAGAGAAGTTTTATTTTCCTCAACAAAGTTGAAGAGACGCACTCACCTGCTAAGCAATATTTGCACTGAACTCTCTCTCTCTCTCTCACTCTCTTGAAAATATTTTTCTTTTACCTAGGCACTTTTCATCAAGTGGAAGCAAGTGCCAAAAGCTTAACAGGCTCCTATCAAATTTTTCACATATTCGTAGAAAACGAAAATTTTCTTCGGTTTAATAAAGAAATTGTTTGAATGATTTTTTTTCTTATTTTATTTATTGTTTTCGATATTTAGGAAAAATTTTCTATTTGTTCTTTGAAGAATTGTAAATTATTTTTTGAAATTAATTTTGAGTTTAATCTAATATTACAAGTGCGTAGGTATATGATTTTCATAATGCTCGTAAACGGAAATCATCATTTTGATTAATATTATAACATTCTATTTTGTAACTTAATTATAGCTCGTGATAATGCTGGAGATGCTTAACTTATGCTTGCTTAGTAAAATACGCACTCAATCCCCCTAAGTATTTATAATCCCGCTGACCTGTTGCTTCTCTTCGGATGAGATTTTCATCATCAGTTATATCAATTATTAATAATTACCAATAATTTCTTGCAGTTGATTGCATCTATACGTTATTATCGAAAACAGGAAATTGATCCATAATCATTAATATGTATGTATATATGAGAATTTACATATATTATTGTATATACACTTTCATTGAATTCGTATACAGCTATTCCAGCGTAAATCATTTTAAAGTCCACTTATTTTATTATGAAATATATGTTTTTATTCATATTTTTTTACATATTTGAATCATTATTTTAATTGCTATATTTTTTTTCCCATTATATTTCGATTTATTTTATTGATAGCAAAAGTTTTCTGTAATTTTTTTAATATTTGAAATAGTTGCCAAGTTTTAATGAAATTTGTCGTTAAAATGTAATTTGAAAACTAATTTCAAAGCGTGAATTTCAGTTACCGTTCGTTCGAAATGCTTTACTTTTGTATCTTCTTTTTTTTATCGTTTTACGCCTGAACAACATCTCATATCTCATGCATAAGGGATGTTTCAACTTACATGACTCCCTCAAGTACTAGAAGTAAAAAAATTACAAGAAAGTTCGTAAAACACGTGACATGTACTGAATACAAAATAGGCAAAATCAAATCATTATACGCTCGAGAAATGTTGGCATTTTGAAAAAAAGTACTATCGTCAATTGTATAAAAAATTTAATATAGAGAGAAAATTTTTCTTTGTTTTTTATAAATAGGAGTGTAAAAAATGATGAAAGAAAACTATTAAATTTCTTACTGTTTTTTAATATCAGTAGTAGAAGACTATATGAGTCAGACGTTAATAATTATAATTCTACAAAGAATTCTTATAATTGCGGTTTTAGTAGTAAAACTTGAAAATAATTTTAACTAGTTATTAAAATTACTAAATTAGTTTAGTTTTCAAAATTGAATATACCTTTAAAATAAAAATATTACTTTGTTAAGATTTGCATTCTAAAATCGAAAAATTACAACGAAATTAATTAATTATTATCTTTTGTTTTAGCTGGAAAACTGATGGCCTGTGCTTGGAACTACTCTCTTTACAAGGTAAGAAAATTATATTTAAAAAAATGAATAACTTAATAATGTTTTTTTCTAAAATTTATGTGGTAGAATTTCTGCTGAAAGCTGTGGTAGCCCACAAGAAATTTTGCCCGCATTTTATTTAAAGTCGACCTCTTTGTTGGGCAAGTGTTTCCAGCAATTTTGAAATACCGTTAAGAGAGTGACGACGATCGTAGGTATATAGACGAGGACAAAGGGGGTGTGAGGAGGGTGTATGTGCGCACCACTTGGTTGTAACACGGTTCGTGCAAAGTGCTCGCAAATCAACCTCGATAAAATGGTAATCGTGCCCCCTATAGAAGTACCTTGCGAATATAGTGGTGGTGGGGAAGATTCGAGATCCTTTTTAACGGAGATTCTTTCCGACGCGACGCGACTAATACGAACCTGCGTGCCAAATCGGGCCAAACTTTACCTACCCCTTACCAACGCGATATCGATTTGGCTGACGACCATTCTTTTTCCAAGCTAATTCCTCGCAGTGAAAAATGTGCCATTTCAGGTTCTACAGTAATCATTATCGGCGTTACGATCAATTATTTCGTTAAATGCTCTCGGGATTTCTTGTTCTTTACTCTCCATATAGCTATGGGTAACAGTTTTCGACAAAACGCCTCCCCTTCCAAAATGTTCTCAATAGATTTTTTTCTAACTTATCGGAATTTATTTTCGAATTAGTATCTTATTCAGTAGTAGAGCTTGCTTTTGGTCAGACAAAATGTTTTCTAATTTTGAGGAAAGTATATCAAAAGTGAGTAATGAAACTAAGTAGTAGTTATAATTAGACGCTATAATTTTGAATTAGTGAATTTTTAATATCAGTAGCAGAAAATAGATAAGGTCAGACAATATGATTTTGGTATCATTATCACTAATTAATGTGGTTGGTATTTGAGACAAAATCAATCTCATTATCCTTATTCAATTGAATTCGAAATTATTCAGTATTTGTATCTATAATTTAGAATATTAGTAATAATATTTAAATAGTGAAAATGAGCTGAAAATAAGCCACATTGCCGAATGTGAATTTAAGATTAGATGAATGTCGTTATACATTCTGGACGCGTTCCAGTTTGATCTATGAGTTGAGCTCGCCAAGAGAGTAAATCACATTTGGGGCAAAGTTGAAAAAGAGCAGGAAAAGCATTATAGAAGATAAAGTGGAAGGTATTTAGATAAAAAGACGTTTGCTATCTACTCCAAAGACGAAATCTATTACTTCGCCTAATGAAATCAATGCTCACATTTCTATTTACAAAATTGCCATTATATTTATCATCATATTAAATTTAAATTTCCATATTATATAATAATGATTTATCAATAAAATAGAGCAAGTTTAATTTGAAAATTGACGTGAATATTTAGGTGACCTAAATGAAATGTGTTTGCGCGTCAAGTTTTTCCTCTTAATTTGAATAATTTAACGTTTGTGAAAGGTGACTAAATCTGGCACAACTTCATTTGCACAAAGATAACAAACAACAAAAGCTGTAGTTTAATTTTCAAGTCTAGTTTATACACATAACCCCGTCCGCGGCGGCAAAAAAAAGGCATATAATAATAAGAATAATAAATCGTGTGCTTTATTAGAATTGAAATTCGTGTTCAGATTCAGTTATCGAGGAAACCGTAAAAGTAGCTCGTGTTGTTTTGTTTTTCCACCGAATCGTAAAGAACGAGCTTCCTTTGCTTTGGAGATCGCTGTTGCGCCGGAAGCTCGCATGTCGGTTGGCAGTTGTCGCATAAGGAGAAACAGGCACTATTTTAAATGCAGGGAAGCGGGCATTACCGAGAGAAACATCGCAGAATCGATAACTCATTCTTAAGGTTGTGTGTTGCTTTTAACTGCACGTATATGTCTCTTTCTCTCTCGCTCTCAAGTTTAGTATGAACCAACACTTGAACAATAGTGTTAACCGCTGTTTCAGATATATAGGTCTCTCTCTCTCTCCCACTATATCTACTAACGATGCTGGATTCAAAATAGTTTTCCTAACAAAATAAAACCTTTCTAAAACAATTTAGTTGAAAAACAAATTCTCTTTTCCCCGCATAAAATTTAGTTACAATTTATTTTCGTTGGATCAACCAAATTTTTGCTTTTATATTTTTTGTCTCATTATAGTCAGACCAATCCATAATTTTTAGTAGAACAAATTTGACAATTGATGAAAAACAAACAAATTTTTAATATTGTCGAGAAAGAAGAGAGCTTTTAAAAAAAGTATATTATCGTGATTTTGTTCGAAATACAGATTTTAGATATTGAGTCCATATGAAACGTTGTCGTTTGAGAGACGTAAAGTGGAATGTTAAATTTTTTTTATTTTGGCGTTTAAAGCACGAAAGGAATGACTGTGATATTCATCTATCAAAGAGTTGGTCTTGAGAGCCTTTAGACGCTGGGTCCAATGAGCCAAAAGGTTCCACGAGAGAGCCACGTTTTCAAAACGACATCCATCATCATAAACAACTCCTCTAAAGAGAGGCGAAAGTCTCAGGTCGACAGAAGTGCCTCTGTATAAAACCCCTTCTTACTTATTAAATAACGATTCTCTCTGATCAATCACGTAACCTTTTGATCTATATAACGAAAACCTTTTGATCTAAAACATTAATTTATTTTCTGAAATTAATATTGTGCCGCTCAACTTATATTAAAATATATTTATATATGGAAAAAACTTCCACTTCAAACAGTTAATATGAAATTGATAATTTATATTCGTCATTAAATTTTAAATTAATTAGAAAATGTTTTAAAATTTTTTGCTTCAAAAAATAATTCAAAAAGAATTTTTAATTTTTGAGAAGAATTTTCATAATCCATTTAAATAATGCAAAAAATGCAAGATCGTAACGAAAGTATATATGCAAAATTCAATAAATAATGTAAATTCTTGAGATGGTGATTGAATTTGGACCATAGTAAAATGCAGCAATGCCTCTAGGCTACACTAACGAAGCGCAAACGTCATTCGCTTCCGCAAGAACGTACTTTAAATGAACGCAAAACAATGATAGAACTACATCGGTACTTTTCAGCAAATTCGAGCACCCGCTCTCGAGAGGATGCAACTTCCGGGATAAATCAAATAGGTATTTCTGAACTGGAGAGAGAACTCTCGCGAGGTTGAGTGGCTGGTAACGCGGATAGAGAATTCGAATATAGAGAGGGATTACGTCGAACCTACGCGAAATATTATATAAAAAAAAAATTGTGGTAATTGGTCCTGATATTCATCGCGAAGAGAGCATTAACATTTTTTATTTTCCAAGAAGTGAAATTCACTTTTATCATTTTAATTCAATTTTTATAATATATGTGCGCTTTGAAAGCCAAAAAGAGACATTTAAGTATTACGTGCTTATTTATTCGAAAAAAAGTCTACAAATTTCAATCCAGTTTCACTAATTTCGTGAATTTTTAAAAATTCAGAAACTTACATCATTTGACATTTGCTATTTCATTCATAATATTTTTATACCATTCATGTTTCGTATTATAATAATGTAAAAATTCTAGTTTTAATTTTAAAACTTTGCCCAATCCTCCAATACTCACTGTTTTATTGTCTACAATCTGAAAATTGCTTCCCGGTAAAAGAATGATATTCCTCTCTTTTGTTTTATAATATTGTTCTATTTTCACCCTTTCATATAATCCATTAAATATCATTTCATAAATAATGTTTCCAAATCCAGGAGGTGGATAACCAACAAATCTTGTAGCAGTTGCGATATTTGAAAAAGCTAGTTTAAATTTTTGCAGAGTAATATATTGTTTAGAAGATATGTTTTGGATAATTGAAATAGGTTTAGATTCGATTCTAAATAACTTTAATTCAAATTGCTCTTCATGATCATCAGATTGTCTCAATGCTAATTTATATAAAGCAATTTTCATCAACTTTGCTTCCTGTGTATCACCTGTTATTCTTCTATATCCTGTTGTTGCATAATTTCTTATGGCATAGTAATCATGAAATGTGCAAGAATATCTTACCCTCTGTTCATTGTAATCTTTAACCATTCTTTTCATCGATGATCCTTCTTCAATTTTACTTCTTACTGTTTTAGTGTAAAAAGAATTGATTCTGAATTCAGCTTCAAATTCTGATATATCGTGGTTTTCAAAATGTAAGTTGTATCTTAATTCATTTAAGAAATCAGGATTGTCTATTATATAGTCTCTACTCCAAATGGGTTCTTTAAAGGAATTGTTTTTCAGCCAATCATTAACAAATCGCATAAGAGTTGCGTTATCTGGAAATGTGTATTTTGCAAGTATATTGTGTATTATATTTCCAGAAAGATTGGACTTTTCCTTAATGAAGTTTACTGCTTCTTTTTCGTAGTTAGATTTTTCATTTAAAAGTCGCCGTCTTCGGCAAACATAAATATATTTTTCCTCTTCATTACATTTTTCATCATAATCATTAATTGATATTCCAGAAAATAAAAGTTTAGTCGGTCTTCTCCATAGTTGATTATTAATTTCATACATAAAATGATTAGGTTCAGGTTGAAAACTTACGTTATTTAAAGCAATAAAAGTATTCTTTTCTTTTTCCAAATCCCCTTGGCAGAAAAATCTCTCGTCATTAAATTCAGAGCCAGTTCTCAATTGTGCAATTTCTGAAATATTGGCAGATAAAAAAATAAACTTATAACCATAACCAGTATTACTATGATTTTGCAAAGTGTTTACAAAAACCAGTCGACTACTATTTTTACCAATAGTATAAATGCTTTTGTACAAATTGGATTTTAATGTTAATATCTTAGAAAGACTACTTGTGATTGACGTAAAACTGAAATCAGTTTTTTCTTTTAAAGAATTAATTATTTTTTCAAGTAATCTTATTGCGTCCTTGGTTGCATAGGTTAATTGAAATCCAGGATTTTTTAAATGTAAAGAAATATCCTCAAATATTTTATTTATATTTAATACATTTGTTATTGAGAATTTATATTTTTTCCCCGTTAGAATTTTATTTAGTGTTTCATAAATTGCATTTTTTGAAAATATTGATCTGATTGTTGTGCCTAATGAATGTGAACAGGCGTATAAATATTTTATTTTATCTGATGCACAAATACTTCCATAATTGTTCTCCGACATATTTGATAAACAAGGGTAATATGGCACTAAAGATAAACCGAATTCCTTCCACCAATTATTTTTCAATGGTTTTTTGTGTTCTTGATAATAATTATCTAAATATATCAACTGTGATTCTAATCGCAATTTTTTGTACTTAATAAAATTTTTAAAAAATTCGTTCATGTTTTCATTAGTTGTTTTTAAAATTTTTGTAAGTTGCGATGTATCAGATAATTTTTTAAAACATTTCTTAATTTCTTGCTGAAAAAAATGTTGGTTGTCAGCATTATTTATTAAAATTACATTGTAATCTTCTCGTTTTAATATAAAGTAGTTAAATGTTTTGTTGTTGGTAAAATAAAATTCCAAAATGTCGCACGGTGAGTGTTCTGACTTTGATAAATCATCATCAGATTCTAGTAGTTTTACAATAATTTGATCTTGGTCAAATTTGTCTGTTAGAGATTTGGGAAAGACCTCTTGCATTAATTGAAAATCATATGATTCATATAATTCACTGATTGTATAAATTTGACTCATAAAGAATTGTTTTAAATTAGGTAGCGGTTTGTCAATTTTACATTGATAGGATTCTGGATAATGTAAATGAATTGGAAGTCGTAAAATTTCTTTGGTTACTGCTAAATAAGTACAATTTTGCTCTAGAAAAGTTTTCAACAATGAGGCACTACTTTGGAAATTAGAAAGTGCCAAATGCATTTTCACTGTGTAATTATTCTTTAAATTGACTTCTGGATCATTAATTGCTTTAGCCATATATTGAAATAATTCTTGATAAGCTGTCTGCCAGAAATTTGATTTCGAAATTATATTTTCCATGTTTTCGAAGACAAATAAATAATTTGAATTTGAAATATAATACGAAAGAGCAGGAAGAGCAAACGCTTTCAACATTTCAAAATTCTTCTCGTCAGTTAGAATTAATTTTTCAATTACACGTCCAATTAATAAGTATTCTTCAAATAAATTTTCCTCAGTTAGATTTGCAATACTGCTTTCAAAATCATTACAATAGGCAGTATTTATTCTTCCCGGTCGAAGGAACATTAAACCAGCTTGAGCATAAATATATTCATGAGACAATAAACTAAGATTAGCTTTTGGTCGAGGAAACAGAGGCAATATTATATCGTTGTATATTCTATTTACTGATAAATTACTAAGACTCGATCTGTCGTCATATTCGTTTTGAAAAAATGTATTCTCAAGATTAATTCTTATCATATTCAATATTTTAGTTATTTGAAAATTTTTCGCTCTACAAAAAACATCTGCCAAGAAGCCATAAATATTACCATATTTGTCAAATATTAAAGAACTAATAATGTAGTCGAACATCACGTTAACAAAAGTGATATCAAAATATTCGTCGTCTTTTGCTCCATAAAGATCGCTGCCTTTTAACAAATTTCTTATTAATTTATTTTTCTTCTCAGAATTATTCTGATTGTCTTCTAAGTATTTATAGAGCGCATTAACAATTGGGATTTGTTTAGTTTGGTCGATTTCTGACAGGTAATTTTCAATGAATAAAAAGTCACTAAGTATGTTTAAGTAATTAAAAATTGGTACAAGCTGTACAGTTTCCAGTGCATTTTTAAATGTACCCATTCTTGAAAGTTGATTTTATAAGTTTAAAATTTATATTTACCAGTCTATGAATAGTAAGAAGGTATTACAGTGTGTTAGTTGTCACTGATTTCACTGTCGTTTCATTCAATGAAGATGACAGTATGTATAGAAATTGAAATAATATCTGAAAATAAATTATAAATAAAATAAATATTAATAATTGAGACTCACTCTCTCTTTCTAATTAAATTTAAATTAGTAAAACATTATTATACCTCGTATTGTTTATGAAAAAGCAGTTACTGATCTAAATGTGAGAATTATCACGGTTCATGGATATATATATATATACGCAACTTAAAAATGTTTAGATAAAATTGTTGTTTATCTATAAACAAATTTTTTTACAATTTGTTTCGTTTTATTGATATAATTGAAAAATTAAAATATTATCTTTATTGATAAAATAGAATATTTCAAAAAACTAATATTTTCGTAACGATTACAATAGAAAAACATTTTTTTTCTTGTTATTTGTTAGCTCGTTTATTTTACTTCACGCGAAGACACGTGTGGTTCTTTTGTGTTTCAAGGTAATATTCAATAACAATACTAAACAAGTTGTAAATTCAGATGTTCATTAGATGAACTTTAACTTTAACTTTAACTTTCATTAATTTATTAAATTTACCTCAAATGTAAATTTTATATATACCAATCGATTCGTTTACATGTAAGGAATACAATTATTTCATCTATAAACTTAAATTTAAATAATCACAAAATTTTATAGCCAAAATGTGAATTTTTGATTTTTTAACTTTCATTAATTCACATACATCCGGACAATTGATCAGGATCTCATATAACATGTTTATATATAGAGAAAAATTTGTTTCCGACACTTTGAAAATTTTTACAAACGAAAGGACTACAAAGCTTCCTCCACGAGGAAGCAAAATAATTCATCTTAAGAAAACTAACTTACAAAATATTTAATTTATTTATTAATAATTAATTAATTAATTATTTAATAATTTTATTATTAATATTTAAAATTTAAATATACCTTCGATGGTAGTAGTAAATTTAATAGAAATTGCAATTTTTTAAAATCAGAACGAGCTTTAAAATTATCTCAAAAAAAAAAACTTTTAAACGAACAGCGTTGGCAAATTTATTGGCCGTAAAAGAAGATAGTGCGATTTTTGCGCACTATTGACTTTTAAATTCAATAACTCTCTGATAAATAATCAATTTCAAAAAAAGAATATCAACAAAATAGAAGTTTTTATATAAGAAAAAAATGTTTTGTAAAAAAAACGTTTATTTATTCGTATATGGAAAAACTAATATTCTTTTGTTGAAAAAATATATATTTAGTTCATTTACAAAACATTAATATTATATTAAATTCTATAGTAATACGACTTTTTTTATATATATTTGTTTCCATGAGTATTACTAACCTTTGTATGTATCTTTTGTGCTTCTTCCCAATTCCAGGAAGACATTGTTGTTTACATTCTGAAAAAGAATTTACATTTTCATTAAAAATTCTCATATTAGAGGTAGTTTTTTTAAAAAAAATTTAATTTTGAAATGCAGAAACTGAAAATGTGTACATGTATCAAATATAAGAGAAATCTGTTTTATTTTTTAAAATAGCGTAAAAATAAGAGAATGATAAATCTTAAAAAGAAAAACCTTTTTTGATCTTCTACCGGATAAATGTTATTTTCCATTAAATTATCATTTCTTAATTCGTTTTCTGCTTTTATTAAACTTCCGATTCAGAATCGGGTTCCACGGGACTCGTGGGAGAGAAGTTGCAAGTTTCGATTACTTTAATACTATTAATTTAAGTTGAAATTTCTGTAGAACTTGACGAAGAATGATGAATAAAGTTAGAGGAGGAAAGTAAAGTAAAGAATTGGAGAGATCGTTTAATGAATCCTAGATCAGGTTTGATAAGGTATTAAGAGAAGAGAAAGGAAGTTCATATTTGATTATTATTATGTGAGAAATTACAAAAATTTATATTAATTTAACTGGGCGAGTAAAATACTAATTTTCTAATTAGATTATTTTATGAGAATTTCCTTTTCAATTTAATAATTTTTCCAAATGTTTGGATTTTGGTAAATATTAGAAAAAAAAATTGTTTCCATTTTCCGAAAATAAGATAAAGATTTGTTTTTATAAAAATTTACTTTTTTGTAAAAGAAACCAAGAAACTTAAACTTGTTAATCGAAACTTTATCTTTTTGATAAAATTCAAGCTAATGAAAAATGTTGTCCCTCTTTTCAAAAATTTATAAACATTTTTAATTAAAACTTTTGTATAAATTTGATGTTATTGATTTAATATTTTTTTCATTGACAAATATCTGATGGCAATTTCTTTTAAAAATTGTAAATTAATGCAAAGAAGTTTAAACTATCATTCAATACATATTTCGAAATATCGTTTGAATTCCCCTAAATTTGAATAATTCTAGGGATATGCTCGCATAGAGATGGTTTGTTTAACTTTAGAGAGAGAATAAGCGCTAGGGGATCTCGTACACGCTTATAATCTAGAATTATTTCAGACCAATGTGCATGAATATGCAAAGGGTCTCTCTCCCTCTCTCTATCTCACACAAGGTACAAACTCAGTGTGTTGGCGAGTGATTATTTGGTGTGTGCCAGGAGTCACTTGCAAAATCGAAAGCACAGTCTGAGTTCGAAGCGAACAACTTGATACCCCACACACACCGGATGGCGCACAAGCATGTCACTCTCGTGAACTCAAAAGTTTCTTAATTACCGGGCAACGGAAGTGTACACGCGGATATAAAGCGACTCAATGCGAATTATTGCAATTCTTCATCACGGAAACATGGGGGGAAGGGGGAAAGATGGATTTTTCTGGTACCTCTTGAATTTTTACCTTACGCTATACGATGCAGAAAAAAGAGGAGGGTGAAAAAAAAGAACAAGAAAACGAAGAAAGAGAACTCGAAATCGAGCGTCAGCAACGGGGGACGACGCACGAACGAACGAATCGAGACCATAATGAAATCGGTTTTCGCTTAGCGCGCTTTCAAGAAGCCTTTATTAAATCCGCAATTCTGGTTTTTTTATTTGACTTATCGTCTAGCAGAATCCTACTTGAATTCCCTTCCTTTTTTTTGTCGTGCGATACCGTCCTTTTTAAAGAGTTCACTGACGATATATATATATTTTTCTATTGACGATTTTATCGTGAAAATTCCTTTTAATGAAATTATAGTTGAAGTACATAATTCAGATGTTAATTAATTTTTTTTCATTTCTCATTTCATCTAGTGTCGATAATAAAAACAACATTCTTGTAAGATAAAAAAATTCGATCAATACGTGCTTCGTGAGACTGAAATTTTTTTTTATTTTTATCACTAAAGTATATATTAAATAATAAAAAAGCAATGATGAATTAAAAATGTTATTGTCATTTAGTAAAAATTTTTTTAATGATATACTAATTTAATTGAATATTTAAATTTGTTCAAATATGCGGAAATTATCTTGCCATATTCTTGAATTCATTAAAATTCTAATAATACGATATTGATTTATCCGTTATTTCAAAAAGATGGCAAAATTTAATTAAAATTTTCATAACAATAAACTAAAATTAATATTTTAATATAATATTAATAATAAAAAAATATATATAACTTTTTAAGATATAATTAATGTAAATAAAAATAGTATAATCGTTGGATTAATTATTTTTTGAATTTATTAATGATCTGAAAGAACACTCAATGTTTTCTACATATTCGTCATTAGTTTATTTTTTTTCTTTCTATATACATAAATTTTAATGATGCCCAGAAAAAAAAACCTCTTGTACTCACTTAAACTCTTTTTCTTTTACGTCATTAAATATACTTTTTTTAAAAAAAAACACGCAATAACTTCTTGAGTGATTTGAATTTAAAACCAATTAGAATCTACAAATTCGTTCATGAACTAATATTGAAAATTGATTTTCTAAATGAATGAATTTGGGCTTTTTGAAGTAGAAAATTTTATTATTGCAAAAAATGAAAGTATAGAAAAAAAATCCACTCTATAATTCATTTGGTAATTTTTATTTAACTGGTTTTTTATTTGTTTTGAAAAAATATATCATCTTTTACAAGTTTCGCTTAATTTTTTGCCTTACTTTTTCTTTTTTAGCAAAGTTTTATATATTTATGAGAAAAGAATTTAAAAAATTAAAATGTTTTTGTTAAAGTGTGCGGAAATTACCTTGCCGCATACTTGAATTCATTGAAATTATGACAATACGATATTCTTTTATCTGTTTTGAAAAGATCGTAAAATTTAATTAAAATTTTTCAAGACAATAACTTTGATTTATCGTCGAGAAATATAATAGGCTTTTATAAAAAAAAAATTTCCTTTCCTTATTTTTGACCTCAATCAAATACAACTCTCATTGAAAAATTGTAAAGGATTTTTTTTATATTTAAAATATGTTACATATATTTTTTTTGGTAAAAAATTATTTTATTTACATACATTTTTAATTTTCTTTTTATGTTTATTTTTGTAATGGAAATAATATAATATTAATAGTGAAATAACTGAAAAAAAATTTGGTTAAAGAAATATCTTTTTACTCAGTGCTTTTTTTTAGTGGGGAAAAATTCTTTCTCCATTTTATATTTAAAATAACACATTTTTCGCATTTGTGAAGAGAGATAGTAATAAAAATATTGTCAATGAAAAGATTTTTCCATTATGAAAGAGATATATATTTATTCAAACGCAGAATGTAGTTCCAAAGTATTTAAAAAAAATTACATATCTCGGAAATATTTTTTGCAAATTAATTTTATTTTTATTAATATCAAAAATGAATATTTGGGTGGTAGAATAATATTTTTGTGAACAAAGAAAATGAGGAGGGTTCATTAGGTTTCTGCAAGATTGTTTGAACGCGCGGTATAAGAAAATATGTAAAAAGCGAATTACTGAATTATTCATAGTGTTCCTATAGGCCTGATGAAATTGACCATTAATCGTGTGTGATTTATTTGGTGGTTTTAGGAAGGTTAAAAGGTAAGCTATCGCACACACACTCGCTCCGTGGAATAACTGTCTTCCCTTTCCCGATTTAATGGAAAGTGAAGCAATCCCTACGTTTGCTAAAATTATTGCCATTATACATTCGCAAGATCCCCGAGTGGGGTAAGAGAGAAAGAGAGGGAGAGAGAGGGGACAAACTACCTTTTGCCCGCGCGCTAAGGGTTGTGTAGATATAACTTGTTAGATTAGTTTTAGATTCAGTTGGTTAGGCCAGTACCTACTTTAGATTGCTTTGAATATTTGACACAGAAATGGCTTTCTGAAATTTCCTTGAATCCAGGAGAAAATTTATAATTCCTCACGCTTGTCTCCTTCTGCTCTCTATAATATTCTCTATACTAATTTTGAATTTCTTCGAGCCACCTCAAAGAGAATTATTGTTCGATTGATCCATTTGTGTAATAACCTATATTTCTCTCTTTGTACTATTTCTATTCAGATTTTTCAAATCAAATGCATTTCGAAAATACTCATTTTAGAAAATGTAGTATACTATTGATTGTTGTATAAAAATATAAAAAGTTTTCGTGACGCACGGATATTATAAATTTTTTATCAAGACATTTCCTTTTTTATATCAGTAGTAAAAAAATAGTATTTCTCAATTTTAGTACCAGTGGAAAAGAAAAGTTTTAGTTGGACAATTTTTTTTTCAAATTCTTATTTTAGTATCAGTAGTTGTAGAAAGTTTTGAACAAGTTTAGACAACAAGTTTTGAAATCTTGTAGTTTTCGTATCATGAGTAAAAGTTTGTTTCAGTGTCAGACAAAACATTAAGTTCTTGTGATTTTTGTAGAAGCCAGACATTTGTGACAGTTTAAATGATACGTTTTATTATGTTTACCAATTTTTGTAATTTTCACAGATCAGAATGGAATTTTGAAAATGATAAATTCAATTTTCATATTTTTTATGATTTACACACGTATGTAGACTCTGCTTATTTACCGGGAGCATGAAATTCAATTACGAGTTGGTCTCACGAAGGGTGGAAAACCACTATAGACGAAAGCTTAACCCCAAAGTCTTCGAATCCAACCTTCTATTCCGTTTTCTTCATTCTCTCTTTTTTTCATTGAAGAGAACGCATATACACATGCTTGGTACTTTCATGTTCACACTTCACATCTCCCTTTCTTCTCGAATATGCTGTACAATTGTTGAAGTGTAGTTCCTCTTTTCTCAGAAAATGTGAACTGTCAGATTTATTCCTGAATTCAAATAAAATGTACGTTGAAAATATATTAAAAATAAAGTTAACATGACAAATATAGTTTACATATAAATAATTAAATTTAATAAATATTTATTTGCTGTTAATAGCAAATCTTGAATAGTTCGAATTTGATATTAAATTTTGAAATGAAATTTCTTGTTTGCGTTAAAATTATATAGATAAATTAATTTAACGTTTGTTTTTTTAATTGTTACATTTTAATTAAAATTATTATTGACCATCTGAAAATGAGTCCATGTTAATCAACAGTATTATCTTATTGTAATATTTAATCATCTGGTAATAATTTATGATTGTTGAAACCAATTTAATTAACAAATTTTAACATCACATGAAAATTAGTTATTTATTGTTGATGAAACTCAAAGAGTGAAGTTTGTACGTCAAACATTCTGAAACTGTATTGTTTTTGTTAATTAAGTTTATTTAAACAATCATGAATTGTTCTTGCATGCACAAATAATTTAGTAATTGGATATTGATTACACAAAAAAGAACACGATATTTCATTAATATTACTTTTCTCAAAACATATATATAATTAATGGGAAGACAGGAACTATTTAATTATTTAAATTAGTGAAGATAGTGAATATTTAAATTTTAAAATAATTGTAGTTATATGTATATTTAAACATTGTTCTGAATTTTAAAAGATATATGTATATTTCTTCTCTTTAGAGATGAGGGGAGTATAAAATTTGCAACAAATATTACTTATTCACTGTCAGTGAATCTTACATTCAGCACGCGAAATTCTCTCTCGGTTAATATACATTTGATTCTGAAATATTCTTGTCCTATTCTATATAAGAGCAGAGAAATCGACTAGCATTGATTTAACAGTTGAATAAAGCATATATTAAATTTTACTTATTGATATACACTGTTCGTATAAAATAGATCAATTAAGTTTATGTTATATTATTTTTAATATTCATTTTCTAAAAAATTAAACATATTCACTTTTTTACTTTGAAAAGTAAAAAAAGTTGATTTAAAATATTAATTTTTTTAATAATCGAATTTTATAGGAATATATATTTAAATGAGAGAAAATTTCATTCATTTTCAATGACATAACATTTGTTAAATAAATCATATTCTCTAGTTTTAATTATTGAAGTTGCATTTCACTGACGATAAAATATTTTCCTTTTTTTATGATATTGCGAAAGTTTCTTTTATATATTGATCATTTATCAAGAAGGTTTTTCAGTTTAATATCTCCTGTAGGAGATAAAAAATTTATTTTATCATTCCCATGCAGAAACTGTTTTCTGTCTTCGTTTTATTTCATCCCTTCTAGGATTATCCAACTCAGATTTAACTTGAAGTAACACAACTTTATAATACGGCTTGAGCTGGAAATTTCTGACTTTAATAGTTTTGAGTTTTCCGTCCAAAGATCGATGGGATTAAAAGAAGTTAAAGTTCAACTGCCTTTGCAGGTTCCTTATGATTTAAGCTTCATCGTTAATGTGAAGATCCATTTATGGGTTAAAAATTTCAAAATCATTTCTTTCAAAAATATTTTCTTTTGATTCCATCCAATGATAGAAATAGAACATTTTTTCTTTCTTGTTTTCTCATGGAGAATGTATGTAAACATTATTGGATTTTTCAAATTATTCACATTTTTGTAGTAGTAATAAAAGTCAACTGCAATCAGTCAGTGATTTTTGAAATCTTTTCATATATTTGATATCAAGTAGTAAAAGTTGGTTGTAGTCAGACTTGTTGAATTTTCGTACTTGTCGTATCAGTTGAGTAAACGGGAGTTTTGACAATACAGAAGTTTTTTTACTGTCAGTAGTAAAAGTAAATTTAAGGCGGACAAAATGGTTCTAATTCGTGAAATTTTAGTATTAGTAGTAAAAGTGAGTTGCAGTTGGAGTTTTTAAATTTTTGTCATTGCGTTATCAGTGGTAAAAGATAGAGTTCGTATAAGACCTGAATTCTTGTAATTTTTGAATCAGTAGTAAAAAAGGGTTGCAGACAGACACAAATGTTATATTTCGTATCAGTAGAAAATGTAAATTTTAGTCAGACAAGACCGTTTAAATTTGTTTAATTTAAGTAAATCATTAGTGCAGATAAGTTTTAGTCAGACTTTCTAATTAGGTAGCAATAGAAAAAAATTTAGTTTCAGTTATCGTTTTTTTCAACTTTTTGTAATTTTTGTTTCGTTAGCTAAAAAGGTAAAAAGTACAAAGAAGCAAAGTGTCTATGAATAATCATAAAAAATTCACGCTCTAACTTGGCAATGGGTTCTTTTTAAACACATAAAGTGCTAATGTATCTTATCTTTATTATATATTCTTGTTCTAGACTAGACTGCATGGAACCTGTTTAGTTAATGTCAAAGTCAACGAACTTCGCTCTGAGGTGTATAGCGTAATCGATTTTAATACTCTGATAAGCTTGCGAATGAAGAACTTTGCCTTTATATATATTTTTATTAAACAGGTATATCCTTTCACTGTACATTCATGACGCAAGCTATTCATCTCACATGCTTACGAGAAATTCTCTATCTAAAGCAAGTCGTATTATTCTTTATTGTTCAAAATTAAATTTTTAATCAAAATGTTCCAAGTAAATTTAAACTATAATTTTATAATTAAAAAATCTATAGTCTATAATTAAAATCTTTGAAAATTCAAAAAGAAAAGTTTTATAAATTGTTCATTTTTCTTACAAAATATTTGCTAAACGAAATTTGTTTTCATTTTTACATAGCCGTATGTCAAAGTGCAAATCGATCCAGTAATTTTTTCGACAGTTATCGCTTCAACAAGTTTTTCTATTCACAGAGTGACGGACAGACATACAGACACTTTGATTTTCAGACCTCAAATTTGTAATAGTTCGTTGAGAATATAAAGCAAAAAGTGAGCTTATTATGTAATATCTTTTTGAAATGAATGTGAATAAAAGCGGAGCAAAAAATAACACGAAAGAGTAGATTGAAAAATGCGAAACATTTTAAATAGTAGGAAAAATAAAAAAAAAAAATTAAGAACAAGTTATTAAAAAGTTCTTTTTAAATTATGCGAATTTTTTTTTTATTAACCTTTTTTCAGACTATTCTTATGCTTTATTAAATACAATATGGACTGTGATGTTTAATTTAGAAAATCTTTTAAAAAGTAAATTTTAATAATGTTGCTTTAGAGTTGGGAGTTAACAAGAAAATTTTCATGAGACTTGACGATAGTGATGCTAAGAAATGAAAGCAAAATAAGATATTTAATAAGATATTGGCTTTACTTTCTTAATGTATTATTTAATATTTTCTCGTTATCTATATTTCGATTGAATATATACACAAATAAACATGTACACATAAATTACCATCATCCTCGGATCGTTGGAACGATATATGAAAAAATGAGTTTAGAGATAGAATTTATTTCCTTCCAACAAGAGAAATATAAAATCAATTTTTAATTTGTAAAATTAGATGTATGCATTTTATATATCGAGCTAAATCATAAATTTCAAATAAATGTCAAAAAAAGCCAACAATAAAGAAAATGTATACAAAAAATAACAACCAATCAGTCTCTTCCATTCTCGTTTCTCGCTCAGGTGAACGTAAAACTTTGCAGAACAATAAAAAAAAAGTTTTTATTTTTTCATTTTTCCTATCCTTCGTTTTTTTAGATGTTCAGCCATGTTAACATCACGATTCTTCATTCAACGAAACGAAAAAGGGATGGGGAAAGAAAATTTACCGAACTCCCATATGATGTATGTTAGGCTCGTAAAATGGGTTATATGATTCAAAAAAGAAGTGTTCCAAGAAAAGCGGCATAAAACAGGAATATAAAAAAAAATATGAAAAATCAGAAGCACTCGTCGACGAAATTTAAGATATAGGATTACATTTCGCTGAAGAAACATTTTATCCCCGAGTATGCCATAAAATAGAAAATTACATTATTACTTGATTATTTTATACATTATTAAAATTGCTTCCTTTCGCATATACATAAAGTTGTTAAAATGAAACATAAGAGTTTTTTGAAAAATTATTACGTAAAGTGGTCGACAAAATATTACCACAATATATATATATAGGTATATGGAAACTATTTTAAAAATCGGAAATTGAATTTAGCAAGTGCCCGGAAAATTGAACTTTCACCGAGATTAGAAAATCACAAAATCGTTTTATATTCATTTTCTATCTCTAGATCAAAATATCAAATGTAGGTTACTGATTTGAATCAGTAAATATACAATATAAAAATATATTAACTGTGACAAAATAATATAAAATTGTAATTAACCGTTTGGTTAAAAAAATTTAATTAACTTTTTTCACGATTTTTTTAAAATCAAAAATATGTTTTTCTTTTTCAGAAACTGCAATAAAAACGGAGTCTCGAAAGAAATTGGCTTTAAAAAATTATGGATTCGATTTGGTGAGTTTTTTATTATTTTTTTTTCTAATAGGAATTTTTTTAGTTTTATTTTTTTAGGGAAATTAAAAATGTGACCCTTGCTCTCTCGCATCAAATTGTTTATAATAATCCAAAAAATGTGAACTACCTCATCAACACTTATTTGTAATAAATTTGGGCCATCGATTTTACGAACTTCCTTCTAACGTTTGAAATCACATCACGAAAACGTTTCACACCAAAGTATTGAAGTACACTAATTTTAAAACTGTCATAAAGTTTATAAGTATTTGCTAAAAAAAATTTCTCTTTTGGTATTTTTCACTCGCGCACTATTTAGTGGATATTAATGATGTGTTTTTTGAATGAGAAAAAAATAAAAAAAATAAATGTTTTCATATTGGAAGTATTTCTCACGTAAACGTGGTGGCGCGGAAGATATGACGACGGGGAGAAAGGTCGTAGCACGTGGTACCGCTTCGTGCGCCCACGCTAGACTGGCACTCTAGCGGTCCGTCTGACTCTATACCGACTGTACCTACTTGCTGGTTGGCTGACTAGACTTTGCCTCTGACAATGTCGAAGCATTTTGGCTTGACGCTTGTCCGTTTGTGTACCTGTAGGTATCAGCTGCTTTTATATATCACTTAGATCACTAGAAACGATGAGCCAATCTTCCAAATTTATCGTCAGTTTGGATCCATATAGCTACAATATTCATTCGCATTTTCCGTAATAAAGGGAGATGAATAATTAAACTACAGAATTAAAATAGATTTCATTGATTTAACTCATTTTAAATTGAATTTCTACATTTGCTATGTTAATTAAAGACAATTCGTTTATCAACGAAAAAACGATATTCTCAATGTAAGAGTATATCTTGGCTTTAATTCATTTATTTTGTTATAACAGTTAAAATATATTATTCTTAATATAGAAAAAAATTCTTGAATTGAGAATTAAATTTTGCGTGTTCTACGCATATTGTATAATCAATAAACAATGAATTAAATTTTGATGTGGTTTTCGTACCATTCCGATAAAGATTGGCTCGGTATTCGTGACTTGGCATCATTTAGTGAAAAAAATGAAAATCACGGGTTTTTAACTCCTCAATGTATATTTAAGTTGCACGTCACCTTAACCCCGAAGAATCGACAGTGGCATACTTTTACGTAAAAATATGTGCTTATTAAACTTGCTTTTCTTGGAATATGTATATAATTATTACACAGATGTTAGATTAATGTATGTATAAGAAAATATAACTTTCTATATCGTTTTTTAAAGAACTTGAAGTATAATATAAACATAGATTTATTCCACGTAATAGAAAAATAAAAAAGTTATTAATAAACAAATATGCTAACCATAAAAAACATATTTATAATTATATTTATTGTGGAAAATTTAATTGGTATTTGGTTTTAATGAAAAAGTGACTTTTTATTAGATCGTTAATATGAAAATTAATATTAAATTTATTAATATTGTTAATAAATGTCAGAAATACTACAAATTTGTGATATATAATTGAATTTTTTTTATTAAACAAATTTTAAATTTAGAATTTTATCTGCAGATTTATTTCTTATTTAAATTTCAATGAATATAATAATCATTTAAAGTTTAATTATACTGTAAATTTTAATTGATGAACATAAATTTAACATCGTTCGGCTGAGATATTAAATTAGAATATGCAATTGAAGGAAACAGTAATATTTATAAATTTTAAGTATTTAAAATTATCGTCTGTAAAGAAGGATATTTTATTACTTATATTATTAAACTTTTCGAGACATTTGTAAATTAATATATAATTTAATTTCTTATCGTTGTTTAATTATATACATATATACTTAAAGCAAAAAATACATCTAGAGAAGAAATATTATTGTATTCCTTTTCTTTGTGATATTAGTGAGCTTCTCAATTATTTTTGTCTTTTCTATGAAACCTTTTTTCATTCTTGTTTGTCTGTTTTCAGTTATTTTCTTGATTTTCTTTACTTTTCCTCTCTTCTGTGATTTATATTATTTTTTTCCCTCTACCATAGTGTCGTTTTTTTTGTATGCTTGAGACCCCAACCTTAGTTTTATAAGGTTTTTCTTTTTCTTTTATACCGGGTTATAAGCCTCGTTTCAACCCCTTTTAGAATCTTTTCCGGGGTGCAAAGTGAAATATTTACTTTACTTTATTTCAAGAAAATGATACCCTCTGTAGAGACTTTTTTTTACTTATTTTGTTATAAACTTTATCATCATCCTCACTATATGAAACGACATAATTTCATCATTTTGCATGAGTACAAAAGAGAATACTTTAGAAAAATAGGAATATGAAAATTTAATTATTCTTTAATCGATATTTTCTCTAATTAAAAAAAAATTCTTTTTATTAATCGTAAAAAAATTTAGAAGCGAAATATTTCAATAAGAAAATATTTAAGTTTTTTAGTTAATTAATCATTTAATTCTCCTTATTATTTAAAAAATATTTTTTTATCTGATTTTCTTCATAAAATTGTCAACGATTTTTGTCATACCTATATAAATAAATTTTATAATGGCCTATAAAATAATTTCATAAAAAAGTTTTATCTATTTTTTTAATGTTTCTTGGCTTACTTAATTCAATCTCTGAAGTTGTTATTGAAAATTTTATTTTTATGTTCAAAAGTTGGGGTTTTATATGATTGATTTATAAATTATTGTTTTTTTGTCCCCCCCCCCTCTCTCTCTCTCTCTCTCTCTCTCTCTCTCTCTCTCTCTCTCTCTCTCTCTTGTACGTAACAATACTTGTATTTTATTTTCAAGGTGTAGCGTAGCTCGCTATTTAATTAGCCTCGTATTGGTTTTTACGTCGATCGGGAAAATAATAAAATATCATTTAATTTTCCCATAATTGTTTGGCAAAATTTTTATTTTCAATTAATTTATTTCACCCATTCAATTTTATTCAATTCCATATAAGATAATCAAATTATATTGAAAACATTGAGAGGAAAGGAAAAATGAAAAGTTGTCACAGTTTTAATTTTACTCCCGGGTAGAAATTTTGTCATGGCCCAAACCTGGGCCAAATCTGGCGTCCATAAAATTGGCATGAAACGCCATACCCGATTTGGGGCACAAGATGAAGCCACATTTTGACGCTTCAGGTATGGCCCATATTGGGTGAGGCGTTTCAAGCCATTTTTGGGATAAATATGGCAATTTCTACACGGGATGTTATTACGGAACTATAGGAGTTTAAAATATTTTGTCTGATAAAAAATGTCGTTGCTACTGATATTAAAATTGCAAGAATTCAAAATTGTCTGTTTTAGTTAATATTTAGTTTTGTCTGACTGAAATTGTCAAAGTTTCAGTTTGGAATTTATTGAATATTTTTGAATGAAAATAATTTCTCAAAATGGACTCTTTAATTGTATAAACTTTAATTGAAACACATGTTGATTTTATGTGTGTTGACGGCAAAGTAATTAAATTTGACGTTTGCTTGATAATACTTTGTTAGAATGTAACTTGAGCTTTTACTGTGAACGACGTGCTTTGACACACAAGGAAGAGAAGATGACAAGAGATCCTGGTCGTCTTCGTCGATATTAGGGACAAGAGAAACCTTCTAATTCACGAATGCCTCTCTATATCTTGCCCCCGTTGTATAACGAACCACAGTCAGCCAGTTGAGGAAGGAAACGGAAATCGAGGTGATAAAGGGAGAGAGAACTGTGTCGAACTTTGATAATTAGTAGAAGTTGCATACATGAGTCTCTTCCTGTTATTGTTTCCGTGAAAATTTTCAGTTGGGGTTAAATTGTATCCCCCACCTCTCTCTCTCTCTCCCTTCCTTCGGACAAAAATTCTCTCGCCGAAAGAATAACAGAGGCCAACGTGCCGGAACAACCGTTTATTTTCGTTCCTTCATTTTTCGATTCGTATATGTGAGCCAAGCTTTAAATCACGCTCCATCGTCACCCATGTCATTTTGCGTTTGACAATTTCTATTCGTTCCCGCATTCGCACAATATATATATATATATATATATGTATAACCGATCTCACCCCGTTGACTTGCCGCAAGAATTTCATTAATTGCATATTCCACATGAGCGAGCTTGCAAAGTTTTAGAGCCCGTTTGTCAAGTGGCGATCAGAAATGATCATCGCGTTACAGCATTGCCAACATATTGGAAAATTTGAATTATATATATATGCACTACATCGCGGGGCTCAGTTCAAAACGAGACACTACTCATACGTTAATTGGCGTATTTCAAATCAATATTTAGCATCTTTTCCAACTTTTTCTCGAATAGAAATATTTTTTTTTCATTAAAATTTCTACCAATTTATTTTATATTTATTAAATTTCTAAATTGAATATTGTTTATTTGTGTGAGAGGTGGATTTTGATCGAAAGGAATGTTGATTTAATAATTTAAAGTTTATCAACTTCTGTACAAAATGAATTAATGAGCTAACTGTGCCCCGATTTTCCATTCATGTTTGAACTTCTTTGACAATAAGCGACCACACAATAGGGACTTGGTGTTGAGTAGAATATTCTAGACTGCTGAAAGGCGTTATGTGACTTATATAATGAGTTGCTGGTTAGGTTGGCAAAATAAAAATATTCAAAGGGAAGTTAAAAATGCAAAGGAAAAAATAGTAATGATCAAATATGTGATTTCAAAAACCATTATGAGTGTCAAAGGGAATTTGTAAAGGTAAAGAAATGCTAGAAAATCTGCATTTATAAATAAGGATATTACAAAAATATTAATATTATAATATTACATTCAGCATCAGTAGAGAAAAACAGTTTCAGTTAGACAAAACTTTTGGAATCTTGTTCTCAGTGAAAGTAAGTTGAAGTCAGACAAACATTGTATTCTTGTTACGTAGGTAGCAGTAGTAAAATTTATTTCAGTCAGACAAAAATTGTGATTTTGATGGTAGTGGTAAAGGTATGTTTCAGTAGGACAAAGTATTCTTGTAATTTTAGTACCAAGTTGTCTATATTTAAACATTGATAATTATCTTTGTCTGAAAAAAAATCCTTTGAGTTCTTTATCTTATAAAAGAAAAAAACTTTTCTATACCTGCCTCATCTCCTACACTTTAACAAATAAACTTTTTTGACTCTTCAATTAGAGAATATAGTTCAAAGGCTCTCTCTTCTTCGACCAGTAGTTCACATTGAACTTTCTAAATCGGGAAAAGTCTTGAGTGACAAAAGGTACAAAGGAAAATAACGACTTTCCAAAACTAAAAAACTTTTCCTAACGCTTTGCTTCTAGTGAGTATATGCCTGCTCAATTACTTCTCTAAATCGTTGATTTCCTAGTAATTGAGTTGAAACTCAATTTCAAACTTGAACTGAAAATACTGCAAACTTACCATTCGAGTTTGATATTTATACTTTTGTTCTGCATATATTGAAAAGGGACAATTGCTTAAATATTCATTTAATCCTATCTGCCAACACTTTCAAGAAGT